GTGATGACAGCTGTCGGGCTCTTCCTGAGAGTATTGCTGGTGGGTGGTGGAGAGAGGGGAGGGGGGTGGGTATTGGGAGTGGTTGGGAGTGGGAACGGAGTGAGGGGGAGAGAGAATGTGATACGGGGGTGCAGTGGGGAGGGCTGAGGGGATGTATGAGAGATATGGAAGGGATGTGGAAGATGAGAGGGGGAAAATGAAGGATATCTAAAGGGCTGAAGGGATGTATGAGAGATATGGAAGGGATGTGGAAGATGAGAGGGGGAAAATGAAGGATATCTAAAGGGCTGAAGGGATGTATGAGAGATATGGAAGGAAGGATATCTGTCAAGTAGTGAGAGAGGGGAAAATAGAGTGATGTTTTCTCATATTCTCCTCCGTTCCTCTCCACCCCTCCTACTGTCCGCTCTTGCTTCCATCCCCTGTTTTCCAGTCATTCCCCCCCATCCCCTCACTCCCTTCTCTCTCATTTCCCCCCTCCCTCCCCTCTCCCCCTTCCCCCCACGTTCATCAGAGGCGCTGCTGACAGTGAAGCAGGTGCACGGGGCGTCATGGCACGAGTGCCTGCTGCACCTCTTCCTCTCCCTCTTCCGCCTCGTCGCTCGCTCCCCATCCTCTGTCCGTAACAACGCCCCTTCCTGCCTGCCTGCGTGCCTGCCTGCGTGCCCGCCCGCCCGCCTGTCTGCCACACGCCCTCCCCCCGTCACATCACACGCCTGTTCCGTGTGTCCCCTCGCTTTTGCATTGTCTTATGATTCTGTTGCATTACTATTTCAGTTGTAACGCCCTGCCCCACTCACGCCGTCTCCTTCCCGCTCTCTCCTCTGCCACTGCCTCTCTCTGTCGCTCTCTGTTTGCCCCTCTCCCTGCTCGAACTGGCATCCTACGCTCATCCCTTTTTGTCTCCCACGTTGCTCTCATCCCCTCTTCTTCTCCCCTGCCTTCCCTCCCTCCCTCCCTGCCTTTCCTCCCTCCCTCCCCATTCCCCCAGGCAAGCTCCATCCCTGCCGGCCCTTCCTCCTCCTCTCCGTCTGCTCCCTCCCTCCCGTCCCAAGACCCTTCTTCTGCTGCTGCTGCGGCATCTTCCGCGCTTTCTCCTGCTCCGCCCTCCCTGCCCACCCCCTACGACTTATCAGACGAGGACGGGCGCTTGTCCCTCTGCCTGTGCCTGGGCCCCATGGCCGTTGCCAGCTTGCTCCAGCTATGCGAGAAGAAGGTGCGCATGGGGGAAGGAGCACGCGAAATGGGTGCAGCCAGGCGGAAGAGAGGAAGGGGGAGGGATGGTAGAGCTGTGGGGCAGTTAGGGGGAGCGGGTGGGCGGAAAAGAGGCGCAGGAAGGGGGGGGTTGGTGCAAGGGCAGAGGAAACGGCCGTGGCAGCGGATGGATGGGATGGCAGAAGGGACAGGGGGGGATGGGAGGGGAGGAAGGAAGGATGAAAAGGGTGATGAGGAGGAGGAGGAGGGGGAAGAGGAAGAGGATGTGATGACTGTGGATTACGAGGGGATGGAGCTGGAGGGGAGGGAAGTAGGGGATGAAGGGGAAGCGGATGAGGATGAGGACCAGGAGGAGGGGTTGCCTTCTGCCACCGCGGCTGCATGCAGCGATCCCCATGCTACCAGCACTGCCGCCACCGCCGCCACCCCTGCATCACCATCAGCAGCAGCAGCGGCAGTGGAGGCTGCGGAGGCGGTGGAGAAGGCGCAGGCAGCGGTGCAGGAGGGGCTGGTGGGCGCGCTGGGGTCAGTGCGTGTGTTCCGCCACCTGCACCTGCCGGTGTTCCTTGCCGGATCGCCCCTTGCTGTCCCCCATGCCACTGCCTCTGCTCTCGGTGCCTCTGCTGAAGGTCTGTTGCTGCGTGCATGCATGCTTGCTTGCACTCTTGTCCGCATGCACGTGCACATGCACACACATGCATGCCACTGCACCATCCATACTTTCTCCATTTCCCGCTTCCTCTTACGTCTGTCCCTTCCCACCCTCTTCTTCCTCCCCTCCGCTTCCCCCTTACCTCTTCCCACCCTTCTCTTTCCCCCCTCCCCTTTCCCCTTACTCCTTCCCTCCCTCCTCTCTCCCCCTCCCCTTCCACCCCCCCCGTTACCCCCCTCTCCTTCCCACCCTTCTCTCCTGATTACTCTTGTCTCACTTCCCACCCCTCTCCTTGCCTCGCCCTCTCGCCTCCCCCTCTCCCCTTTGCAGAGCTCACCATCTGGCATTTCACAGTGGAGGCATGCTACCGCCGGGGCCTCATGCCTGCTTCTGAGACACTGCAAAGACCAAGCCCCCTTCTTCTCCCTCCCCCCCAACACCATCCACCCTGTCATCCTCCCGCCCTTCTCTCCCTTTGCAGAGCTCACCATCTGGCATTTCACAGTGGAGGCATGCTACCGCCGCGGCCTCATCCCCCCCGCCACCGCCTTCACCCTCCTGCCGCTCCTCTCCTCAGGCCTCCCCCTCCTCCGCCTCTGCTCTCAATCCTCCACCTCGCCATCCGCCGCTGCTGCTGGCACTGGTGGTGCCTCTGGCCCCCTTGCTGCCTCCTCGGCCTCTGCAGCCCAGTCCCCCATGGGGGGATCGGCTGCCTGGTCTCACTTCACTGCCAACGGCCCTCTCTCGCTCCCGCTCTTTGCCTCGCTATCCGCACACCCAGCCACGAGGTATGCCAATTTGAGGCGCTTCTTGTTTGGAGCGCCTACGAGTTTTCTCCCAGCCACAAGCAGGTTCATTTTTAGGTACGTTTGCCGTAGTTTTGATCACTCGGTGTGATTGCAATGGTCAGGTAAATGAAAGAGAGCATCTCAGTGGCGTATATTTCTCCGGGCCAAGCAAGAAAGAGGCGAGTTTAAGATGCCTCGAACATGGTAGGCCGAGGTAGAAGGAGTCACGAGTGACAGTCCTGGAAAAACCTTCTCCCCAACGTTCCCCTCCCCTCCTTTTTGCCCCCTTTCCTCTTCTCCCTTCTCCTCTCCTCTCTCCCCTCTCCCCCCCACCACCCCCGGCAGTCAGGAGGAGCTGCTGCTGGCGTTTCACCTGGCAGCGTCGGAGTCCCCCTGGGCGCCCGCTGCGGCGTCTGTGCTCTGCGGTGCCACTCTGCGCCTCAGCTGGCACCTCCAGGTGCGCTACATGGGGGGGAGGAGGGGGATTAGCGGTGAGGGGTATTAATGGTGGATGAGCGGATGAGGGATGAAGGAGGGGGCAGGGAAGAGGGGTTAGGCGGGGCGGGGAGGAGGGGTGAGGGGCTGATGGGGGTTCATGGGGCTGAGGCAGAGATAAGGGGGGGAGGAGGGGGATGAGCAGTGAGGGAAGGAGAAAGGGTGAGGTGAGGGCGCTGATGGGGGGAAACGGGGCTCAGCGGGGGAAGAGCAGAAGGCTGATTTGGGGTCAAAGATTCTCTTTCCACTGAAGCCTTCTCCTACTTCTCCTCTTTTTGTCTCCCCACTCATTTTCCCCGCACCTCCCATCCTTGCCTCCTCCCCTCGCAGGGGCTAGCAGCATCCCTAGTGACGCACCTCCTCTCCTCTCTCTCACGCTCAGCCATCGTAGCTGCGTCACAGGTCTACCCCTCTACTACACCCGCCGCCCTGCCTCCGTTCTTCTCCGACTCCCCTCGCCTCTCCTCCCCGCCTCCCCCTGCTGCCCACGCGCCTTCCGCAGCATCAGCCGCCTCAGCAGGAGGAGGGGGGGGAGGAGCAGCAGCAGCAGGAGGGGCAGGGGGGGCTGCAGCAGGGGGAGGAGAAGCAGCAGCAGCGGCGCCGGCGGCGGCAGCAGTGGTAGCAGCAGCATCAGGCATAGCCATGTCGTCTCTGGATCGACTGCTGGCAGGGCTGCTGGGCCGATCCGCCACGCATGTGCTCCGACTGCATGGCCAGGTCAGTTTCCCTGCTATGCCATGCCATGCCATGCCATGCCATGCCTGCCTTCTCGGTTTCCCTGCCAATTCTGCTCCTCTTGGCCCCGGCCACTTCCCGCATCATCTTTCCTTTCCTCCCCCTCCCCTCCTGTCCCCAACCCACCTTCTTCGCACCCTCCAACCCTACCCCTTACCACTACTGTAACATCCATAAACAAACACATGATGTTATAAATGCCGGTTTCCCTTCCCTTCATTCTCACGCCCCCGCAACTCCCTCGCTTCCCTCCCACCCTCTCACCCCCGCCTTCCATGGCCCAATCGGCCTCTCCCCCTTCTCCCCTCCCCCACGCCACCAGCTGCCCCGGGTAGCAGCAGCGCTGCTGCCTCTCACAGAGGCCTTTGGCCGCCTGCCCATCCAATCTGCGGACCGCGACCCAACAACACCAGCAGCAGGTGGAGCAGCAGCTGCAGCAGCACCTGCACACACACCCACTGCCCTTCTGCCAGGCAGCCACAACATTTTTTCCCGGGCAGCTGTGCTACTCTTGCTGGTGCAGGAGTCTCTCGAACCGCTTTCGAGAATGCCACACTCCCGTTTCTCCTCCTTCACTCCGCCTTCAACCCATCCCTCCTCCCATCCCTCGGCTCTCTCCTCGTTATATGCACCTGCTTGCGGATCCAGAGCGTATGGGGGGGGTGCTTTGAATCAACCGTTCTTGGGTGCATGCCATGTGTCTCTCGAGCTGTTGCTGTGTATGGCTAACAGGGAGGCAGCTTCCGTTAATGATGGTGCTGCTGCTCCTGCTGCTGCTGGTTCTGGTCATGGTGGTGGTGGTGGTGATGGTGGTGGCGTAGGGTTGCTGAGCAATGGTGCAGCGGCAGCAGAAGCATCTGCAGCACCAGCAGCAGCGCCTATTATACCTCTAGTAATTCCTGCCTCTCTCCCGCACGCCCTTTCTCTCCTCACCCTGGACAACCCAACTCACCCTAACACATTCCCAACCGCCACCGCCACCACCACCCCTCCCAACCCCATCTCTACCCCCACTACCGCCACCACTCACACACCACAAGACACTACACAACCACCAGCACCCGTGCCGTCTTCCCAAGTGCCCGACAATGCGTGCAGTGCTCATGACTTATGGGAGGTGCTGCGACGGGTGGTGCCGGGGGCCATGGGCATAGCACACACCACCCAGGGGGGTGCCGCAGGAGAGGGAGCAGCAGCAGCAGGAGGAGGCGGTGATGGCGCTGCTGGTGGGGCTGCTGCTGCTGGTGGGGCTGGGGAGGGGGGTGCGATGGGAGGGCTGACAGGGTGGGTGGTGGTGCGGGCTGCACCGGCTGCAGTGGAGGCAATTCTACAGGCTGTGGTTGCGGGGAAGCTCGCCCCCAAAACCGCCACCAGTGGTGAGCCTGCCTGCCAGTTTGGTGAATGGATGGAAAGACATGCTGTGAGAGGGTACTCGTGCAGTCACACACATGGCCTGCTAGCCTCCTCCTCACGCTCTCTCTCTCTCTCTCTCTCTCTCTCTCTCTCTCTCTCTCTCTCTCTCTCTCTCTCTCTCTCTCTCTCCATCTCCACTTTCTCCCTCCCCTCTTTTCCCCCCATCTCCTCCCGTTTCTCTCCCCCCTCTCCCTTCTTATCCCCCTCTCTCCCCCCCCTCTTCCCTTCTTCCCCCTCCCCTCTTCTTCCCCCTCCCCCCCTCCCGCTCTCGCTTCTCCTTTCTTCTTTCTCCCCCGCAGCTCTATCTAACCTAGTGGCTCTGGCGCCCCCAGCAGCAGCAGCCGTGGCGTGCTGTCTCTCCTCCTCCCTCACCTCGGCACACATCACCATCCCCCTCTCCTCCCACCCCGACTGGCCGCAAGCCGCCATTCCTGCCTCCTCCCTCCGCACCGCTCTCAACCACTTGAGGATCGGGTTGCTTGATATGGGACTCTACACGCCGCCCATGACAGGTGCGTGCGTGCTTGACATACAGCTGGGTTCTGGGATGGGGCTGGGCCTGAGCTTGGCTGAGGTTGGGGGTAATGGTGGGAGTGCATGGGGGGTCACCACGCGTGCATTCCATCTCCCCCTTTATGGGGGATCACCATTGCTGGACTGTACGCCATCCATCACACCCTTCACACTCCCTTGCCATGCCACTCCCTTGCCACTCCCTTGCCACTCCCTTGCCACTCCCTTGCCACTCCCTTGCCACTCCCTTGCCACTCCCTTGCCACTCCCTTGCCACTCCCTTGCCACTCCCTTGCCACTCCCTTGCCACTCCCTTGCCACTCCCTTGCCACTCCCTTGCCACTCCCGTCTTGTTAATCTCCCCTTAGCCCCGTTTCTCGAACCCGTCTCACAGCTCCCTTGTTGTTTGTCACTTTTATCCTCTTCCCCCTTCCTTTCTATGTACGCCTTCCCCCACCATCAGACCCAACCGCAAGCCCCACGCTCCCCCTACCCATGGCGCTCTTCCTCTCCTTTGTCACGGACCTTAAGCTCCGCTCCTCCTCCCGCTCCTCCACCCCTTCCTCCACCTCTGCCACTGCCACCTCCTTCTCCGCTCCATTATCCCCCACCCAGTTGTCCTCTACTCCCTCTTCCGCCCTCTCTTCCGCCCTTTCCTCTTCCGCCTCCCACTCTGCCTTACCCCCTGGGAGCCCCTCTCCCCTCTACCACCTGCTCCTGCTGCTCCTCCTGCGCTCCTCCTTCCGAGCCTCTCCTTCCATGGGAGCTTCAGTGCTCGCAGCGGCACTTGGCGCACCTGCTGCCGGCCCTTCTGCCGCTGCCACTCCCACGCAAACAACCGCAGCTAGTGCCACTCCAACAACCACAGCCAATTCAACCGTCACAACCATCACAAACACCACCACCACCACCACCAACACTATCAACACTGCCAGCGGCAGCACTGGCAGCGGCGGCGGCAGCAGCAGCAGCAGCAGCAGCAGCGGGGTGGGTTGCCTGGCAGCGAAACTGCCTCTCAGGGCAGTGCTGGAGCCAGCAATAGCGGAGCTTATTTGTCATGACCCTCGCTTGCTCTCTGCTCTTGCCGGCCAGACCATGCACGCCCTCTCCTACCGCGGCGCTGCAGAACCCCCCCTGCCCCTGCTGCTACTGCTCTCCCCTGCTGCTCTCGCCTCTGCTTCCTGGCCCTCCTCCCGTCTACATGCCACTGCTTGCTCCTCCCCTGCTGCTGCTGCTGCTGCTGCTGGTAGCAGTGCTGGTGGTGGCGGTGGTGGTGCTGGGGCAATTAGGCCGAGAGGTGAGCCTGGCAGCAGCGGCGGCGCAGCAGCAGCGGTGCACACACTGCCAGCGCATCGCAACGGCAGTGTGGGTGATCTGGACGGGTCCTGCTCGCTGCTCGGCCTGCCTCCCATCCCACAAGTCCGCGACGCAGCCCTGCCAGGAGCCGCAGGGGGAAAGGCCGATCAAGGACTGGACCCCACAGATCCCTCCGCAGCAGCTGCAGGAACAGCAGGAGGAGGCGCAGGAGGAGGGGGGGGAGGAGTGGCAGGTGGTGGTTCAATTGGTAACCCTTCTGGTGCAGACCCAGGCAGTTTTGCTGCAGGAGGGGGGCTGACTGCAGCAGGTGTGTGGCTGAGTCTCCCTGCTGTGCTGGCAGGGCGGGAGGCGCTGCTGTGTGATGCTGTGCTTGCAGCTGTCGTTACTCAAGCTGCTGCTATGGTGGTGGGGCGGGGGGAGGGAGGGTCCACTGCTTGGATTGCAGGCGGGCTAATGAGGGGGCAAGGGGAGGGAGCGGTGGACGGAGGAGGTGCAGGGGGGCCAGCGGCAGGAGGGGCTGCTGCTGCTGCTGCCGCTGCTGCTGCTGCGGCGGCGGCGGCAATGGCAATGGGAGTGGGTGGGGGTGTGCTGGCCGGAGTAGCATCCACCCCCGTACCATCCTCCCTGCCTCCTCTCCTGTCCTCCTCGCCTCTCTGGTTCACACCATCCGCTGCTGCTGCTCTCTCCTCTTCAACCACTGTAGCAGCCATGCTGCTCTACCTGACAGGTGGCAGCGCGGGATTGGACGATTTGCTTGGCCGAGCCATACCCTCATGGTTACATGCCTGCTCCACGTCCTCCCCAGCTGCTGCTGCTCTGGCTGTCAATGCCGCTGCTGCCGCCGCCGCCACTACCGCTGCTGGTGCTGCTGCCACAGCTCCCACTATCGCCCGTGTGCCTGCTTTCCCCGGTTCCTCATCCATTCCTTCTTCTGCCAAGCCGACAGGCCCCGGTTCTGCTGCTGCCGCTGCCGCTGCCGCCGCTGCTGCGTCTGCTTCTGGTGGTGCTGCTGATGGCAGCGCCGCTGCTACGGCACCACCCAGCAGCCCTTTTCCCCCTTCCTTTCTAGAGGGCATAGTGTCCGAAGTACAGTGCTTTGCCCTCGCCTCTCTCGCTTTCAAATGCCTGCTCCTCGCCTCAAGCAACCCTTCTGCTGCCACTGCAAACCGCTCTACCACACTCCCTACCACCACTGCCAACTCCCCTTCTTTGCACCCACAAACCAGTGCGAGCACGAAACTCCAGGAGCTCTTCTCGTCGCATTGGGCAGCACTCGCTGTCCCACGCTCCCAGCCAAGATATCCCGGAAAGCTACCAGTGCTGAGCTACATGCAACACACGCACTGGCAGCAGCAGTGGCATCTGTATACCGTCTCGTTTGTCTCTCTCGCGCTGCGCTGGGCTCCGGCATGGGTGCAGCAGCTGGGGGAGGAGGCGCTAGGCAGCATGGCAGCATGCTTGGCGGCAGGTGGGGAGGTGGAGTTGGCTGGTAGAGTGACCCGCGTGGGGCGCAGGGCACGCCCGGGACTGGCTTTAGAGGTTGCGCTCTGTGGGTAGGCCGTGGGTGCAGCAGCTAGGGGAGGAGGCGTTGGGCAGCATGGCAGCATGCTTGGCAGCAGGTGGGGAGGTGGAGTTGGATGGTAGGGTCACCCGCGTGGGGCGCAGGGCACGCCCGGGACTGGCTTTAGAGGTTGCGCTCTGTGGGTAGGCCGTGGGTGCAGCAGCTAGGGGAGGAGGCGTTGGGCAGCATGGCAGCATGCTTGGCAGCAGGTGGGGAGGTGGAGTTGGATGGTAGGGTCACCCGCGTGGGGCGCAGGGCACGCCTGGGACTGGCTTTAGAGGTTGCGCTCTGTGGGTAGGCCGTGGGTGCAGCAGCTAGGGGAGGAGGCGTTGGGCAGCATGGCAGCATGCTTGGCAGCAGGTGGGGAGGTGGAGTTGGATGGTAGGGTCACCCGCGTGGGGCGCAGGGCACGCCTGGGACTGGCTTTAGAGGTTGCGCTCTGTGGGTAGGCCGTGGGTGCAGCAGCTAGGGGAGGAGGCGTTGGGCAGCATGGCAGCATGCTTGGCAGCAGGTGGGGAGGTGGAGTTGGATGGTAGGGTCACCCGCGTGGGGCGCAGGGCACGCCCAGGACTGGCTTTAGAGGTTGCGCTTTGTGGGTAAGAAGGACGCGTATCTTTTAGGGGCCTACAGAGCGGATTTGGCTGGTAGAGTCACTTGCATGGGGCGCAGGGCACGTCCAGTCCAGGGACTGGCCTTTTAGGTGGCGCTCTGTGGGTAGGCCGTGGTTGGGACAGAGTGTGTGGAAGGTGGGTGCGTGGGAAGTGGAAAGGGAGGTGGGTGGGAGGTGGGTTTGCGGTGTGTGGGGTTGGTCGAATGGTGTGTGGAGGACGGGTGGGAGGTGTGTGGGAGGTGGGTGGAGGTATGTGGGAGGTTGGTGTGTGGGAGGCAAGGTGGGTTTATACCCTTTGAATAGTGGCCGGTAGCGTGTGCGTGTGTGTTTGGCAGTTGTGGGCAAGTAGTATATTGTTCCTCTGCACGCTGTACAATGCACAGTGCACGCCCTTTGGGGTGTGCAGCAATTAGTGTTACTATCTATGTTAGATTAGGAGAGGACTTAGGAGACTAGGGTATGGGGGCTTGCATGAATGTCGAGAAGGTTGAGCAAAGAAGAGGGGTTCACTATAGAGTTGGAAGTACAAGTAGGCAAGAGCAAAGGGATAGGGTGCACCACCAACGGTTGATTCTAATAGCTAACTAATACACTAGCAAGCTGTAGACAGTTATAAGATATATAATTCAACACACCCCCGTAACTGCCTACGGCTTTAGCTAGTGGTGTCTGGCACCAGGTCGCCTGGAGAGTGGTTGCTGTAGCTGGGATAGGCACAGAAACAGCGGTGGCTGACCGGCAGCACCTGTGAAAGCCAGAACGGAGGAGGGCGCGGAGAGCGCGGAGGAGGGCTGGGATAGCCGGAGGGCGAAGGATGCTGGTCGCTCGCCATCTACGAGCAAACACAACTGTTGGTGAGGAGGAGGAAGCTGCTGGTGGTGCACAGGAGGAGAGCAGAGGAGAGGCGGCTGGAAGAGAGGAGATAGGAGGAGGAGATGCGGCTGGAGGAGAGGAGAGGAGGAGGAGATGCGGCTGGAGGAGAGGAGAGGAGGAGGAGATGCGAGGAGAGGAGGAGGATGATTGGCGGCGGCTCTGGGTATGCTCGTCACCCCTTCACCCTCCCCCTCCCGCCACCCACTCACCCTTCCCCCCCACGGCTGCATCCGCGGAAGGGAGAGAGGGGGGGAGAGGGGCGGCGGTTGAGTTTGCAGAATCCTTCTCGCCACCCCCTTACCCTCCCCCCCACAGCCCGCCACCTCCACCTCCACCCCCGTGTCTCCCCACTGGCCGCCACCCCCACCACCTCGCGCTAACACGGCAGCAGTCGCTAGCGCGGTTGGCGCTGGCGGGAGCATGGGTGGGGGGAACGGGGAGCCGCGACAGAGGTCGCGCAGGGCGCGACGGGATGCCGCACCAGAGGCGCGGCAGGGAGCCGCGATGGGGGTCCGCGGCGAGCGTGACGGGGGGGCACGCACAGTTCGCCGCCATGACCGTTGCGACCGTCGCGACAGGTTCAGAGACTGACGCGCGACGGGGGGCGAAACGAGAGAGGCGCGACGGGGAAGCCATGAGAGAATGAACGGGTGGGCCCATTTAGGTCCGAGGAGCTTAGTAGCTCAATACCATGTTAGAACACGCTCTTAACTCTTGACTTAGTAACTTAGGGTTTACCTAGGAAGCGTGAGTGTCGAGAGTGAGCATGGCAAGAGAATTGGGCAAAGAGGGGATTCACTAAGGAATGTTTACAAGATATAGGATAGGGGAGAGGATAGGGTACACCACCAGCAGTTGAACCTAATAACTAACTAATACACTAGCAAGCTGTAGGCAGTTAGGATATGCAATATAATTCAACAATCTATTATGGAAAACCGGCTTACTAGTGGTGACGAGAAGATCTGGAACTTAGTGTAGTGTAGTAGAATGCAGTGCAGTTCAGTTCGGGCGGTGCGGTGCGGTGCGGTGTGTCACCTCTGCATCCAACCATGGATTTGGCACCTGTACCGGTATGTGTGCAAGGATGCATGGTACATACAGCACACTCGCACGTACACATGCATGCACCCGCACCGCACTCATGAGCAGCAAAGCAACCATCTCCCTCGTGCAGTGCAGTTTCACGCCTCCTCCTAATTACTCTGATGCAAGAGTAGGTTCCCTTCCCACCATGTGGGCATCGTGCCTGATTGCCCTTGCCCTTGCGGAGTGGAGGCAAGCCAACAGCTTGATCCAGGCCAGGCAGGCGGTTGAACTGCTTCTTTTGAGACGTACGTCTCAAAAACCAGGCCAGGCAGGCGGCTGAACTGCTTCTAGGACGGACGGTGTACCAACCAAGTGCAAGCTCATACCGGTACCACAAACACACCGAGGAACAAGTGATCTACTCGGAATATGCTCCATAGCGGAACCGTACGTGTATACTGTATATGCCGTATTGAGAAAGCTTGCTTTCTTATTTTTATCAATTGGCATCGTTCTCATTACAACTGGCTTATTACAACATTTGCATCGAGGTTGAACACAAGCTAGTGCATGCTAATATCACTAGCTAAGATGTACCCTATCCAAGTGGCATTAGCAAGGCGTTCTACGCTGGGGTGGGTGGTGGGGATGTTGAGTGAGCCGTTTGAAATAGAGAAACGTGGGTGGAGGGAAATAAGCTCCAACCCACGGTTTTTGTAGTTGGAGAAGGGCGTTTAGCGCGCTTCGACGATGCCAATTGTGCAGTACAAGCAGCTTCGCTTTCACAATACACAATTTTAAAAAACACAATGTGTGTTTAAAAATTATAATATAGCTAGCAGAACGTGCTGGCACCACGGATCTGAACGGCTAAAAGGCCAAGAATGTACCTATCACTTAACAATAACACTTGCAATGTAGCTAGGCAACCATGATGTACGTGTAAGGTAAGGTTCTCAAAGATCCCCTAGCAACAGCCAAGGCCTACAATACCACTAAGCCTGCCTATGCTCCGCACTTGAAGGTGCCTCACTACAGTGCTCCGCACTACACTACACAGCGCTCTGCACTACACATGCTCTCTACAAAACTCCCTCCCCACCCTGCCTCCTCCCCACCCTGCATGCAGCACCCCCTAAGCCCATGAAGCACGTTGATTCACGAGGCACCCCCAAGACGGACCACAGTCCATGCACATGCACATGACCCAGAGTAGCTGCCCGCAACCAGTGTAGGTTACTATATCTGACTGTTACAGCCAGCCCAACCAAACCAAACCAAATCCCAGGGGCCACGTTGGACTTGGGTGTAGTGGGTTTGGCCCTTTGGTCTCAGAAATGGCTGGCTGTCTGGCTGTCATGGCAGCCCTACCGTGGCACCAGAGAGGCCCCGATGCGCCGTGCCACACCGCACAGAACCGCGCAGCACAGCGCAGCACTGCAAAGCACACACACACACAACTGTGGCACGGCCGCAAAGAGGTTGACTGACAGACATGTAGCGTGCACGGACAGCACTGGGGCAAGCGGGGCTACAGGGGATACAGAGCGTGAAGAATGCAGAGCGGTGAAGATTCCAGAATGGAGCCGGCCTAAGGCATGGTGCTGGTGGTGGTTGCAGTGGTGATGGTGGTAATGATGATGGTGGTGATGTGGTGGCAAGGCCAGAAAGACAGGAGCGGTGCTTGGTTGCCTGGACGCCCTCAAGCTATGGAGGAATGAAGCTACGAAGTCTTGGGGCTATGAGGCTATGGAGCTATGGGGCTAGACTATGGGGCTATGTGGCTGTAGATGTAGAGATATGGAGCTATGGAATTATGGAGCTATGGGGCTATGGGGATACAGAAGTATTCAGCTGCGCGTGCAGCTGTTGGTGACCAGCCAGATGGCCCTAATCGCAGAGGTCACCTACCTGCGGATGGCACGCAGGCAGGCACGCGTGGGAGGCATGGAAAAGCGTGGGAAGGTGTGGCAGGATGGCAGAGGCAGAGGCAGTGGCTGCGACGACAATCGCACAGATAATGGTCATGATACTGCTGCTGCTGCTGCTGGTGCTGCTGCTGCTGCTGGTGCTGCTGCTGCTGCTGGTGCTGCTGCTGGTGCTGGCAGGTTCCGCAAAGCAGGAGAGAGCAGAGGCAGTGGCAGCAGCACTGATGACTATGACGGAGAAGGAGAGGGAAAGCAGGCATGGCTGTTGGCAGCGCAGGTGGTGGTGGGGGCCTTGCAGCAGTGGTGTGGTGGTGGCACTAGGGTGTGGTTGGTAGAGGGCGAAGCGAGTAATTCGAGCGATGCGATGAGGTGGGATGGTGGGCAGATGGTTTGGGGAGGGAGGAGCAGCGATAGGGAAGCTGGAACACAGGGTCATGGCTGGTCCAGGAACGAAAGAATGGGTGTGCGGGAACGGATGGAATGAAAAGCTAAAGGAGTGCCAATGAATAAGAGTCCCATGAATGCAGGGACCAAAGAATGGGTGGACGAGGCTGCGGGGACACACACACACACACACGCCTTAACGCACTCGTCTTTTGCGTCTTACGCTCGACTAGAAAGCTCGATTCGACGTGCGTAAGGCTTCCTCAATGAGTTGGGTCCATCGGTGGTGCATTTGAGCAGAGACGGTATGGTGGCACAAGAATGATTGCCGATGGCTCTAAATCTCACCTTTTTCTTTCTCTCCTCTCTCTATTTTCTCTCTCTGACACGTGCTGAGGGAGCTGACGCCCTGAGGGTGTGGTTGGGGTGTGACCGCACGAAACAGAGAGCAGATGGAAAGGCGGAATAGATGATGCCGGCGCAATGGAACGAGGAAAGGAGGAGGAGGAGAAGACTCGTGTAGCACAGGCGCAAAGAAGGAGCAGGAACAGGAGCGGGTGCATTGGCGAAGCAGACAAATGGAGGCAGAGCCGATGATAGTGCAGTCACGGTGGTGACAGTTGTGCAGCGGTTGTAGCCTGCATGCATTCACAGCACAGAAACCCCAAGAAACGCATGGTGAGTGTGGCGGAGCATAGGTCAGAGACCAGCGGAGTTTCAATGATTTTTAAGGCGCACAAAAACTTTTTGAGGCGCCTCGAAAATTGGTTGTGGGAGTGGGAGGGAGGTGGGAGGAAGCATGAACAGCAAGCGCTCACCTGCTTTACATGACCTCTGTGCACTGCAGGTCCAATGCTCCACTGCCAGCCGCTGCCGCCACTGCTGCTGCTGCTGCTGCTGCTGCTGCTCCTGCACCTGCGGCGTCTGCAGCATTGGCTGGAACTGCCGCAGCAGCGGCAGCAGCGAAAGAAAGCTTGTCTCCCACTGTCACGGAACCAACTGCTGAAGCTCCGCTCTGGCTGCTCGCACCCACCAGCTTGAACCGCTTGTGCCGCCTCACGCCCTGCTGCTGCTGTTGCTGCTGCTGGTCGTTCCACAGAGGAAAGTAGCTTTGGCCATTGATCCGCCACATGCCATCAGGAGGAGTTGCAACAGCGGGTGTGCTAGATCCGGAAGGTGCAAGCGGTGCAGCTGGCAGCACGGATTGCACTCCAGGCATCGCTGGCAATCCCGGCAGCACTTGCAGTTCCTGCTGCTGTTGCTGCTTCTCCTGCTGCTGCTGCCACTGCAGCGCTGCCGCCGCAATCCGCTTGTTCTCCTTCTCCGATGCGGCAGCCATTGCCGCGCCCCTCCCTCGCCCGCTCCTCAGCCCAGCCGCAGCCGCAGCCGCGGACGCGGAGGTACGGACCCGAGGCAGCTGAGCACGTCTGGAAGGCACAGGCACGGGGAACAGGCTCGGGAAGCAGGGCTGCTCCGTTGCAGGCACGGGGAGACGCCTGGGGGCGTTGAGATGGGGAAACGGCGGTGGGATAAACGCAGAGGTGAGACTGTGAGAGGAAGCAGCGCGAGAGAAATTGGCGCGCTGCTGCTGCTGCTGCTGCTGCTGCTGTTGCTGTTGCTGTTGCTGTTGCTGTTGCTGTTGCTGCTGCTGCTGCTGGTGGTGGTGGTGATAGTGATGGTGGTGATGCTGGTGCTGGTGCAACCATGCGTGGCCAGTCAGGGAGCTCATCCACCGCCCCATGCCCTCCCACTGCCCGCCCTGCTGCTGCTGCTGCTGCTGCTGCTGCTGCTGCTGCATTTGCTGATACTTCTGCAACTGCTGCTGCTGCTGCTGCTGCTGCAGCAACTGCTGATGCTGCTGCAACTGCTGCAACTGTTGCTGCTGCTGCTGCTGCTGCTCCAAAGCGCGGTGCAAGCCCCACGGTTGGTGCGCAGGCAGGCACAGCGACCCCGAGCAGCAGGGGGCAGCAGCGCACAGCCCCGAGCAAGGGCAGGCGGGGGGAGGCGACGGCGGAAACGGCGCGGAGGGCGAGGGAGCGGCGGAGAAGGCGCCGGGGCAGGAGGTGGTGAAGGCGGAGGAGGGGGAAATGAGGCAGGGGGCTGTAGCAGCCATGGGGGAAGGCACCGCGTGAAAAGGCTGCCTCTCTGCCTGCTGCTGCTGCCGCTGAGGTTGGCAGGTTTGCATGAGGTCCTCTAGCTGATCCTGCCAGGCACAACAGAAACCGTTAATTGGACGGACCCACATTCCAGTCAGCATGAAGCGGCGTGAAGCGGCGTGAAGCAATGTGAAGCGGTGTGAAGCGGCGTCACGCGACGCGATCAACACATTACAGCGCTGCTGCTTACCTCCAGCGACGCTGCGCGCTGCTGCTGCCCCGGTTTCTCCGAACCCCATCCCCACAGATCCGCCGCCGCACCCACCGGCGCCGCTTCCGCTGCGCCGCCGCTGTTGACGCCATTCCCCGCCAGCACGAGAGCCACGTCGCACCATCGGCGCCTCTTCCCCCCCTTTCCCGCGGCCCCGCCTCCTTCCCCCCTGGCCGCCGGCCGCACGTCGCCGCCGCCGCCGCCACCACTACCACATCCATGGGTCTCCCCCCCGCTTTCCCTCTCCAAAGCAGCCGCGACCTCCGCGAGCGACGACGACACGAACGGCTGCTGGACCCCTGGCTGCTGCGGCCGTCGCCCCGCGCCCTCCGCCGCCTGCGCCGCCAGCGCCGCCGTCTCCGCCATCTCTCGCCCCGCCACGCGCGCCTCTAATTCCTCATTCAAGGACGGAACCATGCCGGGAAACGCGGCCGCTGCGCCGGCGGCATTCGCGGAGGCAGAGACGGGGAGGGCGGCCGGGGAGTTGGCGGGGACAGAAGCGCCGCCCGCGACCGCCGCGCCGGCTCGTCGCGCCGCCTGCGGCTCACCCGTTCCCTCCCCGGCGGAGAGCTTCCGCTCACGTTCCCCCGCGTTGCACGCCGCGAGCACCGCGTCGATCAACAGCTCTCCAGAAGCACTGCCACCGGCACTGGTCGCATTCTCCGGCGCGACCTCGAAAATACTGCTACCGCCGCCGCCGCCGCCGCCGGCGGTGGTGTCGGCGCAAACGCCATTGCGCGCGGAGCAGTGGCTCCACGAGATCTCCCCCCACTGCGGGGAGGCCTTCCGCCACCAGCGCTCCCCCTCACCTTCCGCACGCGAAGACCAGCTCTCAAGCAAGCGATCCGGCCACTCTGCCTGCGCCGCCTGCACCGCCGCGACGCTCTGATGATCCTTCGCGCCTCGCTCTAACGTCGCCGCGCCCGCCGCCGCCGCTGCAACCGACGTGTCGGCAGCCTCGCTTCCCTCGCGCGTCGACCCCGCCGGATCCGCTAGGCCCACCAACCCGCTAGTCTTGGCCGGTGCAGCAGCGGTATCGGCAGTCACAGTAGCGACAGTGCCAGCGCCAGCGGCGACGGCGTCGGCGGCGGCATTTACGTTGGCTGCTGCGTCATCTCTGCTGATCGTGCAACAGCTACTGCTCCCGCCGGCATCGGTATCAGGTCGGTGACAGGTAGTGAGCTGATTCGGATACCACAAGAGCGACAACGGCGACGACGGCGACGACTGCGACGACCACGGGTCGCAGCGAAGGTGTTCGAAAAGCTCGGCTGCGGCAACCGCAGTGTGATGAGGAATGGTTGACGACCTCGGAAGGGGTTCGAGCGAAACGGCAGGGCCGACGAGTCTCTGACCCTGACACATGGTGGACGTTGGACGTTGGAGGTGAAATGGATGCGTAGCGGACGAGAAATCTACTGGTGGAGAGTACTGAGGTTTCTGAGAGTAGGAGTCCGAGGGATTTGAGAGAGAGCGTCACCAAGATGGTTGTGGATGTGGAGGATAAGTCAAGTGCGGGTGGTGGTGGTACCGGCGGAGTATTGCTACGAGCGTGCGCAAGCGCGTGTCCATTGGCCCCGCCCCGCTTTGAGAGCACAGAGAGGAAAGGAGAGAGGAAGCACTGGCGGCAAGTGAGGTTTTGGAAGCGGGAGGGAGATGGGTGGGAGGGAGGGATACAGTTGAGAGTCTTCAGTGTTGGGGTTTGGTTTCAGCCAGTTTCGAAAGCCAAGAACTGCACAGTGGTTTGGAAAGAAGCCCCAAAACTGGAAACGTGGGGGTCAGAGTGCGAGCTGAAGGAGGAATTTGTAGTTGCCACGTGGACATTGCCCGTCAAAAGTGCCGCCGCCAACCAGAACAGCCCTATCTTTCCGCTACAGTGAAAGGTCCAGTATGGGGTACTTTGCGACTCGCCGTCGCAATCAGGAGGAGGTTTCACTGTACATGGGCAGGCATTCCAGAATATTCTCGAAGGCCATGAAAGTCACTGGGCAGACTGACTCGTGTACGTACAGTAAGGTACAGTAAACACATTTCATATCTTCGACCTGCAGTTCCTTCAGTTGGGATTCCCGAAGTTCCGGCAGCAGCAAAGTTCCTCCACGCGACTCAATTTTTTGTGCCGTGACGTGACTCCAGGGCTGACGTGACGATCTGTAGATACAGAACCAGGGCATTCGCCTTGTTTTTCCCAGAGATCAAGTGCTGGATTTGGCGACCCGGCTGAAACTTATGGGTGGTTTTCGGCCAGTAGGGTCTCCGGCCCTCAGTAGGGACCAATTTTCCTTTCCTTGATGCTACCTAAGTTCGGGGTGGACGAGGAAAGGCAACTGAACGTTAGCTCATTGAGAGATTTACTTTGCGCAGTATTTTCGATTGGGTTGAGGAAAAGACTTGCAAAGTAGTTATTTAGTCTAAAAACAATTACCTGGCTTGAAGGGTCGAGATTGTGCCTTGAAGCCTGATTGGCCGAGACTTGGCCCAACACTTCCACATTCTGGGTTACAATTTTTTGGGACTCCGGATTCGTCCGGGTACCCCCAAATACAGCCGTGCTGGCATGAGGACTTCATCACTGATTGAGGTCGGCAGCTGTCACCGCGCTTGGAGCAAGTGTGCAAAGTTGCCAGTTGCGTGGTTGCAGCCACTGTACTTCAGGAGGGGGGGAGTTTTTTTTTTTTTTTTTTAGCAATTGATGGAGACTGGAGGAGAACTTCTGCTAGAATCCGCCGAGACTGGTGCCTCCACTCCAACTTGACAACACCCACCCAACAATAAGCCGGTAAACCCAGCATTTGCACTCCCAAAATCTAGATCACCTTTGTCAATTGGGAAACATACGGACAACACCAATTATGCTGGCCAAGAACAGACAAGCACGATTGAACAGTGGGCGTCTTCCTCCCTTCACTTTAGCGCCACGCCACCTTTCCTCTCCCTCTGCACCGCATCGCAGCAAAGTCCCTGGCAAATGGAATGGGTGTGCCTTATCTCACGCGCCGAATCAGAAGAACCCAGGCAGGCATACGTAATCCGCGACGAGGTCCACGTCACACGTGCCTGGCAAATCGGCTGACACAAGCGACCATATGCGGAGCCAAGTGGACCAGACGAAAAGAACGAGATGATATATTTTTGTTGTCGTTTTGTTTTTCAAAACGGTTTCCATTCCATTCAACTTCCAAGCGCTTCGTTCCAGGAATGCGATTTCGGGCCATTTTCTGGCTTCGTGAAAGGCTCTTCGAGGTTCCACTCGCTTGGTGTCACCAATCTCCAACTTCGGGGCAACAATCATTTGAGCGATAAGGTATGCATTCGATTGCCAGGTAATGCAATGCGAGTGTTTAGGCGATGAAGGGCCAATTTATAATACATAACATGTAATCCAACCCAAATACAAGGCTGGTTCCAGACAAAAGCCAACTGCTAAAGTTCATAGAAATAGATTGGAACTCTGATCACAAAGCACAAGTAGCTGACTAGGGGTACATTCCTGGCTCGTGTCAAACTTCCGGTCAAACTTCGTGTTTTCCGAGTCCAGGGGCAAATTTTAGCCGGAAGACCCGAAGTGGGTCTCGGATGACCCAAAGTGGGGCCAACTGTGGGGCAGCTTCGTGTCATCCCCGGAAGACCGGAAGTATGACACGAGCCAGGAACGTACCCTAGGGTAGGGTTCTTGCTTTCAAACATGAGTGGCTCAGTTCCGATTTTCCTGACTGTCCTGCGCACGATCATCGGGTTTGAGTGCAAGGACATCAAGAACTTGTTGGTCAGCAGCGCCGCTCCAGTTCTATCGTAATGAAGCAGATGGAATTCAGCACATCCTACCTTCATCAACATCAGTACAGTGCTCCAAAAAGCCGACATGGCACACAAATTTCATATTGCATTGCATCTTACATCAAATCCTGGTAATCCCTCCTAGGGGTTATGGCTAAACATATTATGCTGAGGCTGCAGGCTTGTAGCTGATCTCAGCCAGGGTAGCAGTGAGGGCAGCATCAGCTGCCAAAACACTCTTCTCGGCCTGTCCACGAGCCTTGTTTGCCACCTTCTTCTCCTTGTAATACTCTGCCGCATCTGCCTTGCGCTTCGCCTCCAGCTCCTGGTACCCAGAACCACACGTTCATAGCACGCGTGCACGCGCGCACACACACACACAAACACACACACACCCACGCCCACACACATCCCCACCCGACCAAACAGACGAACAAAGACCGACACAAAACCAGCACAAGGAGAGCGCAGGGCAGCACAAGGAGAGCGCAGGGCAACACAAGGCATGAGCTTCTACAAGTAACGAGGCGCAGCACCCCACATTCCACTGTCTGTCCCCACGCGATAAAAAGAGCAGAAGGAGGCAAGGCAGAGCTCACCTTGACAACATCCCAGTAGTGCCAGCCGACTTCATGCGAGAGGTGGCCCAGCAGACAGTACTTGTGCCCAGGCTTCAACCTCAGCACCCTGCACACACCACCACACCGCACCGCACCACACCGCGCATGAGCACCAATCACGGGGGCGCCATTACATGAACCACGGGCGGGATTGAATGGTAAACAACGCGTGAATGGATGAGGGATGGATGGGGTTGAAGGAAACAACAGTTTGGCGGATGGAGCATGGGGGAGAGTGGGAAAGAGGAGCGTATGGGAAAGAAGGTGGGAAGAACGGAGGAGGAGGGGGTACTGGGACGAGGGGGTATTGGGACGAGGGGGTACTGGGACGAGGGGGTATTGGGAGGGGAGCTGACTTGAGGGCATCGGGAATGACGAGGCGCTTCATCTTGTCGTAGGGCGCGGGGATGCCCTCGAACGCCTTCAGGCGGTCCAGCGCCGCTGCTCCGCGCGGAATCTTGTGCGGGATCATACTGCGCGCACAACGCATTGACAGGAAATAGAGCCGGGAGCAGTGACAGACGCATGAGTTGAACACGAGGTTTTTATCGAGCAAGCAGGGAAGTGGGAGAAGAAAGGGGAGGGGAAAGAGCGAGGGGGGGAGTGGGGGGGGGAAGGGGATTGGGGGTGTCTAGGCGGGGAAAGGGGTGAGGTGTAGGGAGGGTAAGGGGTATGGGAAAGGAACTGGTGAATTAGGGTTGCGGGGACATGAACTTTCCAGCGTGAATCAGCACCCATGCACGAGTAAGAGCATCTAGAGCCGGGCCCTCCAGTCGACTCGCGCGCACAAGCCGCATGAAACCCTCAACCCTCCACGCGAGACCCACATTCCCCGCACGCGTTCACCCCCTACTCTTCCCCTTCCGCTCCGTGATCAATCCTTTTATGCCCATTTTCCCCTCCGCTTCGCGCTCTAGACATCAAACCTTCCAACCCCCTTCCCCTCCGCGCCCCACTCCCTTAGCCCCACGTTTTCCAATCCCCGTGGCCCGCCCCCGGACCCTGTCTCCCCCCTCCCCCCCTCTCCTCACCCGCGGATGGTGCGCCAGAGGATCTTGGAGGGCGCGCGGAAGTGGAAGGGGCCCTTGGAGGGCTTGGTGTTCATGCGCTTGCGCAGGAAGCGCAGGTACTTCATCTTCTGGCGCACCAGCCCGCCCGACAGGCAGATGTCCTCGCACCGCACCACCACCTGCGGCGCGGACGGCGCCGACAGGGGGAGAGTGGGGCGAGGGGAGGGGCGGGGGGGGGGGAGGGAGGGGAGAGAGGAGGAGGAGTCGAAGGGGAATGCGGGAACATCGAGGGAGGACGGGGTGAGGGAGCGGATGGGGGTCATGGGGGATGAGAAAGGGAAGAGACGGTCGGGAGAGAGAAATGAGACAGTGCGAGGATATTTGGAAGGGGGTCGGTTAAGTGGGAGGGTGATCTGCGAAATATAGATGCCAGAATTTGAGACGCCTAGGTGGAATCAAACATCAAGGGCAGTTTCCAAGCGAACATAGAGACACCCGGAAGCATTGCGCATGGACTAGCAACGTCAGGGACATGGCATGGCGAGGCTATCGACGGGGAGAGCGCGACATGCATCGGCTATTCCAATGGCGTATCGTGCGTGGACCTGGTGCAGTCTACGTGGAAATCGGCGATGTTTAAGAGACATCGAGACTAGCTGATTAAGGATGATCGAAACAGTCAAGAGCAGTCCAGTTATTGCGCTAACGATCCGAATCGCCATGCTGTTGGATGATAGGAACTGGACCCTAGAGCAACCTATGGCGTCCGAGCGGTTGGCAGGACAAGAGTAATGCGCCAACAGACGAGAGAGAGATGAAGCTGATGCGGATCGTAAACCTCCTAATAACTGCGGCTCTAAGTGTTTGAGACGTCTCAAGAAACATCTGGGTCACATGCCGGTGCTTAAAGTATCGACTACAGATACCATGCGTACGAAAGCGATCAGGAATCAGCCGGCGGAATGGAGGTCATGTTTAGGAGCCAGTGCTGTTTAAAGGGTGTTATATCTCGCCTGTCGAACGAAAACCCTAATTATATAGTCCATGCCGAACCCTTATTCTGACGACGCCACGCCGCTTACCACATGTTGTCCGTTAAGAAGCTCCTTTGCGACGATCGACGCGAGGCGGCCCAGCATGTGGTGGCGCGCATCCACCACCACCGTCTGTTTGATGATTCCGCTGCCGGAAACCATGGCGGCTAACTCGGTGAGGGGAGGGGAAGAAAAGACGAAGTGAAAAGAGGAGGGAGGGAGGGAGGAGGGGTTGCCTTAGAGACAAGGAGAGAAAGGAAAAAGGGGCGAGGGGGAGTGGGGGAAGGGGCGCTGGGAATAGGGAAGGCGGAATGAGGTTGCGGGGGGTGGTTTGCGGGAATGGCGTGAAGCGAGGATGGTCGAGTGTGCTTTATAAAGAAAAACGCGTTTCTCTGTAAGCAGTGTAGTGGTATTATATTGTTGGGCTTAGGTTGGATTTATGTAGATTGAACAATAGATATAACGAAGACCTTAGCGTGACCAAACTGCAGCGGGTGGCCAGGAAAATCGGGGCAAATTTCAGAAGGCATGTGAGGATCTACAGTGAGGGGTGCGGTGGTAAGGAAGGGCAGAAGAAGGGAGGGGATGGGGGGATCTGGCCAAACTTGACAACTGGTGAGGCGGCTGCACTGAGCCGTATTTGCGAACAGGACGAGCAACTGGTGTGGAACAGTGCTTTCAGCTCGATATGGGAGAGACCCAGTACCTTCTTCAAGCCACCGTAGAAGACTACAAGGAAGGCAGGGCAAACTGTATGATGGTGGCCTGCAGCTTCCCTCTTTTTCCAGTTACGACTGTGGATGTAATGCATTGCATAGTGTATTATGTCCCAAAAAAAAAAACAAAAAAGACCAAACTGCAGCGACAGCTCTTAGGTAAATAGTGAGTCACCCTTTGTGAGGGGCAACCGTTGTGGCAGCTGTTGGTGGGACGGGACGGATCTGGTCTGGCTTCCTTGGTTGAGAGTGCTGAATCAGCATGTGCTGGCATTGCTTTCGTCCAGCCAGCTACTCACGTGCGGACACCTCCTCGGGCTTCCATTTCGCATTGGTTCACGCATCCGAGATGGCGTGGCAGAAGCTCATTCGGTTTTCCTTCGGGCATTCGAGGTAGTTCATTGTTGCACCTTCCATTGGTCAGGAATCCCTGGAAAGTATCATGAACTTCATGAGAGAGCTCAGCTCATTGGCGGATGCGAAATCGATCAGGACGGAGCCGCGAATAACGAATCGCGACTGAGAAGCGTTTCCAACTTTTCAGCACTTTTCCACTTCCTAAATTCTGAATCTTGTCTGTACCCAGACTAGAGTCCCGACTTTATGTGTACAGTCCTACGTCTTAGCAACTAAATCCCTGCCCTAACCCCCGCACCAGCCGGGCTGCAGGCAAATCTGCCCACCTGCCCCTCGTGGGCGTTTTTATTTCTGAAGGACACATAGATTCATTGCATTCCCACTACTCGTTCAATAGCGCTTTGAGGGCGAAAGTGGAGAGAGATTAGAGTGCTCAGATCGAGTATTGCTTTCTACTCACTTTGCTTCTCTCGGCTCCTTCTGGTTGCTAAAGTATTCGCACCGCTCAGACTCGTTCTCGTGCGTGATTAGAAGGTATAAACTTCTTATAGATTGTAAACCCTTTACGCACGGAATGGCTGCAATTGCGCAAGTAGCGGCGGGAAGCGCGGTCACCACGCTGCGTTTCACGAGCTCATCCAGCAGCTTGTTCGATAAGAGCAGATTGCCACTGCTTACAGCGGGACATCGTTCGAGGAGCAGGGCGAGCAATCGTCGTCACGTGCCGTTGTCACAGCGCATCACCAGCAAGATGGTTATCCCAGGTCCGCATGCAACGCGTGCTGTTGGGGCTGGGCCTAACAAAGGCCCTGCTCACTACCGTGCCATGCGGGGTCAATGTTCACTCTAGCTAATCTTCGGAACTCCGTTCTCACCGCACTTCCCTCGTCGCTCCTCACTCACTGCCCTAACCACTTCTATAATCCTATGCTCCACACGCCCCCTCTTCCCCGCTGCGGTGCTCCTAACGGCAGGGTTCGGCGAGTCGCCTGAAGCGAGGTCCGCGGGGGCGCTGCACAACTTCTTCACCTACATCGCCGTGCGCATCGTGCTCTCGCAGCTGCAGGTGCGCGCGCGGGGAGGAACCGCGAGAGCACCGGGGGAGGGGGAGGGGGAGGGGGAAGGGGAAGGGGGGAGGGACGGGGAGGGGGAGAGGGTTGGACACCGAGATGTGAACCACAATCTGCGGAGGAATGGGTTTTGGGGGTAGCAATGGGATGTGAGGTTTTGCGGGTTTGATTCTCGGAGTCTGGTAGGATGAGCCACGAACGTGGATCCCATGCGTGATTTCCGTGATTTGCGTTCTGATCTTCACCCGCTGGTCCGGGACGCTTGTCTCGTGGATCACTGTTTCCTCGGGCATGCGCGAACGAGCCTTGCTCATGGCTCCTCCTGAATCGCTCGCCGTCTCTCCATCGCGTTTTCACCTCTCCTCGCCTCGCCTCACCCCCCTTGCCCCTCGTCCCCCAGGCGTACAACCGCGAGGGGTACGCGGAGCTCAAGGAGTTCACGGACCGCGTGCCTCTTAAAGACGGCGACCAGTTCTGCGCCACGCTCATGCGCGAGAGCCCGCAGCACAAGAAGTTCGGTAAGGATGGGGATAGGACCAGGATGCTATGTTGTTTAGAAGCAAGCAATCACGCGTTTGCACCTCGGTACGGAAGAGAGGAAGTGGCACACGGAGGTCCGTGAACGGGTTTCTAAGCTACAATAGGATGCGTAGCAAGGCGTCGTGATCTGTTGATTCCTGTCCGTAAAACTCGCTCTCACATGCTGATGTTGTTCTTTTGAGCTGCTGTCACATGCATGCTTGTGCTACCAGCGAATGGAGGAGGGCAACAAGCAGTTGATGCGCGATTTCCTCATGGAGACCAGCCGCTTTGACTAAACAAGCTTTTTTCTGCGTAGTCAGATCATAACAGCAGGGGTGGCATTCTACTGGTGGAGCAGCTTGATTTATTTTGTTGGGTACAAGAACATCGGGGGCAGCAGGCATCCAATAAGATTACTGTATAGTCTTCAACTCTCTAGTCCATGCAGGGAAACGGCTAGCTTGGGCTTTTGCAGCACAAGTTGATTAGTTACAGGTAGTAGCGTGCAGTAGTGTCACATTTGGCTATTTTCCCTCTTTTCTGTACAGTTGCATCAATGTTTTTGTACTACAGACCACGCAAGTATTGAGTTTGCAACCACATATTTACAAATACCACAACACCCCACAAAGCTGCGTATTACCATCCTTTTGAACTCAGCCACAGAACACAATGGAATCTCTGCAGCAACACGAACCATCCGAACACCAACAGCAGCATCACACCTCCGCCTTGGCTGCAGCAGACGCTGGAGCCGCTTCAGCCTCCAGTTGTTCCAGCTTCCAGGCGCGCACCACATCAGCAGCCTCCCTGTCCCCCAGCAGCATATCCACCTCCACCTCATGTGCCGGCAGGTAGCAAGCCGAAACCCCAACCGCCAGTGCCAGTTCCAACAGCTTGTCTAAAGCCATCGACCTCAGGAGAGTCCCTGAGGTCAGCTTGTCAGTTTTAAGGCATTCTGAGATGCGGTCGGAGAGCATGGTGAGGAGAGCATCAACTTTATCCAAGCCCTTGACCAGCTTGCCCGTGCTATCAGAGAGGCTTCGTGCCGGGCCCTTCATCCTCTGCACGCCTTCCAGCACCTCTCCCTTGTCCCGGTAGATTGTGAGTGCATGTGCTGCCTTGGTGGCGTATATTTTGGAGCCACCAGCACTCGCGCCAGCTGGTGCATCCAAAAGGGATACGAGTGAATTTCAAAAAAGGAAAAGAGCAGGGGAGTGGAATAATTGGATAATGGCAGGGGGTCACAGGGGAATTCCTATGCTGAACAAACGATGCACATGATGATTGCACGAGAATCTCACCTCCCACCACGGCAGCAACACCAGCACCAACACGAGCGCCAGAAATGGCAGCACCAGCGATGATGGCAGGTGCCTCGCACAGGAGAAGAGGGGCTCCAAGCACCACAAGAACCGCCCCGCCAATCCCAAACCAGAGGCTGCGCTTGCTGTCCCGTTTCTCCTTCTGGTAAGAGGATAACAACCGATTTGAAACAGGGAGGAAGGTAGGAAGGGGAAAATTTAGACAAAGAACGGAGAACGCAAAGATGAAGGGGGGAGAGGAGGGGGAGGGGGGGGGGGGGGAGGGGGGGGAAAGGAGAAAGGAGGAGGAGAAGGGGAATCTAAACAAAAGGGGAAGTACACAGTCTCAGCATATGCATACTCGCCTTATCCAGCTCGACCATGACGTTAAGGGTTTCAGCCTCAGTGCTCTGTAGCTTTCGCGACGCCACGGCCACAGAGCCACCGGAACCTGTTAACAGCCCTGACAACTGCTTGCTTGTTCTGGAGACGGTTTTAACACGTTCTTCAAGCATTTCGATGCACGCCTTTATATCCGCCTGTGAGGGATTAGGTTCGGCTGCGTCGGCGAGAAGAACGGAATGGGAGTCAAAGGATCACAATCAGGCAAAGCGATCTTAGAACTTGAAAGAGCGGACAGCATGTGCATGCGTTAACTCCTTGGCTCACAAAAAAATCAAACGCTAAGCAGACTCTTACTGCAGAACAAGTAATAACAGTTACCTAAACAGCTCGACCTCTTTCCGTTACGGCTCGACCTGTTTCCGTCAACAAACACATAAGAGTCAAGCCGTCATGGTTTGACTGACCGAAACGGAGGTCGGAGAGAGCAGCGAGCTGGAAAATCAGTGAGTTTAGCTCCGGCACGAAGACGTGGTCGAAAATCGCTGCTGACTCCGCCGACCTCGCTACCGCCTGGCTGACACCGGGACAGGCGGCAACGGCCGACGGACTAGACACACACACCGCTTGTAGGTCCCGGGCGGGTTTGAGATAGTCGTTAAACGCGACGGATACGAAGCGGATTTTCTCCGGGAGTGCCTGCAGCTCCATGGCTTCTTGATTGCCATGAGCAAAAACAACGCTGCTCTGACGCGGCTGGTCCTGCTGATGCTGGGAAGCTATTACTCGTGGGAACGACGCATTTGCAGGCAAAAAAGGGTCCTCGACTTCCAACTTGGCCATTTCGCGGGAACAATTAAAGTTGCAGGAAACCTTTTTGAAGCAAACCGGAATCTCCTTGGGTAAACGCACTGAAGGATTCTTCCCAGCCCTGCTGTAAACACGACAGCGAAAACACAGGCAGGTGGAAGCGGAGTAACTAACGAGGTCGACTATTGACACACCTCAGTAGTCGGCAAAGAGACGAGGTCAGGGGATGCTAGCGGATTGGGCGAAAGATGCTAGCAGGTGACAACAGCAGGGAAGGGAAGCACAGCGTGGGTGGGGGATGGAGCCAGTGATGTGATGTGATGTGTGGCGAGTTCCGAATGTATGTTTTAACAAACACCCTACGAAACCATTCTGGAATCTAGACGACCGCTTTAGATCGTTGCGAGCCTCATTGAGCCGCATCCACACTAACTTTTGGGACACGCCGTCAGCTCGCTTGGTTTGCCCCAGGTTGAGAGGGCAGAGGCAGCGTGCACAGCAAGGAAACACTCGGCCGGTGCGCCAGTCTCGTGTGTTCGATTGCGGGGACGTGCCCTGAAATACGCGCGGGAGAATACTCCAGGGGGGCGCGGTGACGTGCGGGGAAAGGTCGACATTACCAAGGCGAAGTTGGGCCATGCATGACGAGGGAGAGTCCGGTCTGGGTCGAGGGGGTATACCGCTGATGGTGGACGGGCGGGACGCCAGGCGTGAAGCGACAGATGAGTGGGATGGTGGGGTGCTTCGATTCCGGAAACGCGTGATTGTAAGGAAAATCCCTTTTCCTTACTTCGCGTCCCTGCTTACCGCGTACATGCCCGTTCCCGCCATCGGCACCCATCCGTGAACGTTACCCGCTCGCGACATTCGCTTCGACCACGACTCCCGCCACTGTTCACGATGCGACCCAACCTCACGGTTCGGTTGGTAACCCGCGCTCCGGACCTCCGCCTCGACAATTCCCAACCTCGGCGCTAGGCCTGTAGCGCACCCCAATTTCCCGCATTACCGTTACCACGCTAGCTTCGCTATATAACTTCGCTCATGCTTTTCGCTCAACTGTATTGATTGCTTCGATAGTGCAATTCTCACTCGCTCGTTCAATTGCACTCGTAACACTTGGTATTCAGAGCCTACGATCTCCTCTCGGACCGCACCCACACCTTCGCTTCCCCATTATCTCAATTTTTGGGGGGGGTAGACGTCTCTCAGCGAACAAGCACCGCCGCTCGTAGTGCTCTCTCGTAAGCACGCACGGCCACGACAGAGGCTCTCGCTGAGCTTGCCCGACACCCCCGCCATGGCCGAATTCACTCTCGCGACACTGACGCAGGAGCAACTCGACCGTCTCGTGCGCCAAGTCGAAGATTCGGCGCTCGAAATTGCGACGCTCACGGCGGAACGTGACTCCGCGCGTCAGCAACCCACGGTGAATACTCCACCACCACCACACGCACCTGCAAATGTACCCGCACAATCGGAGGAGCCGATCGTCATTTCATCAGGCACGCCAACACAGAACGACAGCGTGGGACAGCGCTCAGGCGCAGCCAGTGATGGCGCCGCTCACTCGATGCCTGGCATGGAGAGGAACAAGGTCGCACCAAGCCCGCGGGAGCCTCGTGAAGCCCGTCGGCACGTGGAATTTGCGGCGACAAGTGGCGACCACGCCAGCATGGCACCAATGCCACTCAAGCCGCAGCACCCGCCCTGCTTCGACCCGAGCCAACGTGGAGGTCCGACGGTTCAGTCGTGGGTCTTCACGATGAACGTCTTCTTCGACGCGAACTACGTCGAGTCGGACGCAACGAAGATCAGATACGCCGTCTCGATGCTGAGAGGCCCCGCCATGGACTGGTGGCGAGTCATCGTGACGTCGCCACGCGCCTACGAGCCACCGTCGCAAAAGGAAGGGCCCACGGGCCCAGCTGTCACTTGGAGTTCATTCTGCGAAACAGCCCAATACAGCACGTGGGATGCGTGGTGCGCAGGGCTTCGGGCGTGCTTCGAGCCGATCGCGGCTTCTATTTCGGCGCGTCAGAGACTGCGTACTTGGCGGCAGCTCGGGTCGGTTCAAGACTACACGAGTGGTTTTCTCGCATTATGCGAGCAAGTCGGCTACATGCACGAAGCGGAGCGGGTGGACTGTTACGTCGGAGGGCTGAAGCCGGACATCTCGCACGAAATCATGCTACGCGGACTCTCGAATTTCAACGAGATTCTCGCGCTCGCCGAGAAAATCGACATTTTACGCCGACCGAGACCGGGGTCCTACTACGGACATCGCCCTCGGGGACCGATCGAGCACGCCACCGTACATGCTGTTGCGACAAATGCAGCTGCCGCGCCGTTTAAGGGGCGCTGCTTTGCTTGCAATAGGCCGGGCCATCGCAAGAGTGAATGCCCAGAGGAGCTGAGGCGCCGCGGAGCAGAGCAGGGGAGGGAGTCTCCAAGGCAGGGAAACGCCAGCAGTCAGTAGGAATCGGGCCAACTACTGACGAGACTGCCTGCTCGCCCAACCTCACCGACCCTCACCGAGTCACGGTACCGATTCATGCTATCGATCGGGCTCGGATGAATAAGGAGGGTACAGCGACGGATTGCCCAGTACTGGTCCACGGGAAAATACAGGGAGCAGCAGTGAAGATTTTTATCGACGGAGGCGCAAGTCACAGTTTAGTTAATACCGCGATCGCACGAAAACTACAACTGACACTGAGTCGGTGTTTACCGGAGATAGACGCACGCTTAGTTGACGGCACACCACTGGCCATACGGGAAAAAGTGGAGAGAGTAAAGGTCCGCTGCGGGGGGAACTTCGGTTTTACACAGGAAATGCTCGCGACGACACTGGATGGGCACGACATTTTACTGGGACGTGATTGGTTGCGACGGTATAACCCGCGAATTGACTGGACGACGAGTAGCTGCACTGTGCGAAGTAGCGGTAACTGGGTGTCGCTACCACGCTGGCAGTCGCCCGAGTCTTCAACGGTCCACGTCAACGCCATCACGATGAAACGGGCTGTCGTCGCTGGAGCTGACGTGTACGCAGTGGATATAGCGTTGATAGGAGAAGCAGAGCAGCCGAGTGATTTTCAAAAACTGTTGGCAGCAGTACCGCCCGAACTACAAGAACTGTTGAAACGATACCCGGGGATTTTTCCAGACGACTTACCGGATGGACTGCCACCTCAGCGGGCACATGACCACCGAATAGAGTTAGAACTGGGGGCACAGCCAACCGTACAGCGACAGTTCAAACTGACACAGCTCGAGCTCGATGAGCTGAGGAAGCAGTTAGACTACCTGTTAGAGAAAAAATTCATCCGACCGAGCTCGTCACCGTTCACCGCACCGATACTGTTCACACCGAAAAAAGACGGAGGGTTTCGCATGTGCATCGATTACAGAGCACTGAACCGGGTAACAGTCAAGTCGCGATACCCCATTCCCCGCGCTGACGAACTGATCGACCAGCTGCGAACAGCACGGTTTTTTTCGAAAATAGATTTACGGGGAGGTTACCATCAGATTCGGGTCGAACCATCCGACTGCGCCAAGACAGCATTTAGGACTAGGTACGGGTCATTCGAGTACACCGTGATGCCATTCGGGTTGACCAACGCACCGGCGACATTTCAGATGACCATGAACGAGGCGTTTAGGCCACTCTTAGATAAATGCGTGATAGTTTACCTCGACGACATCCTAGTCTACAGCAGGGATAAGCAGCAGCACTTAGCAGATATGGAAGCAGTTTTTAAGGTTTTAGACGAGCACCGCCTACTGACCAAGGGTTCCAAGTGCGAGTTCTTCCAGGATAGGTTAGAATTTTTAGGACACGTTATTTCGGAGGCTGGGGTTGAAATCGACCCAAAGAAGCTGGACACGGTAAAAGCGTGGCACCCCCCGACAAATATCACGGAACTGCAGAGTTTTTTAGGGTTCGTTAATTACGTGCGTCGGTTCGTCCCCGACATGGCACGATTAACAGCCCCACTGACGGATCTGCTGCGGAAGGGGGTCGCTTTTACGTGGGGGGAGAAAGAGCATGCTGCCTTCTCTGCCCTGAAAACTGTTCTCTGTTCACCGCCCGTACTGCGCATCGCTGACCCACACCGCCCCTTCGAAGTAGTAACAGATGCAAGCGACATCGCTATTGGAGCCGTACTGCTACAGGATGTCGGCAACGGCCTACAGCCCATCGCATACGAGTCACGAAAGTTGCATCCGCCCGAGAAAAATTACCCGATACACGACCGCGAAATGCTCGCGATCGTGCATGCGTTCAAAGTCTGGCGCTGTTACTTGACTGGCGCAGACGTGACAGTACGGACAGACCACCGATCCCTACAGTACCTTCGCGCACAGCCCCACCTCAACCCACGACAGATCCGCTGGCTCGATTTTCTCGAGTCAAACTTCCACTACACGGTCACCTATAAAAAGTGAGCATCAAACATTGCCGACGCACTGACCCGCCCTACTGCCCAACTCCACGCGATACTACTTGCCCAGATTAGCCCACTGCTGACAGGCCTATTTACCCACGGATACCAGACAGACCCGTTCTTCACAGGAGGAAACTCGCAGCAGTTTGCAGCAGCAAAAGGAGTTTATTACGTAAAATCCGGCACCGACCGCATCTGGGTACCGGGCTACACTTTACTGAGGGAGCTGTTACTACAGGAGGCACACGATGGGGTTACCTCAGGACATTTCGGGGTAGAGAAAACACGGCAGCAGCTGCAGCGGTATTACTATTGGCCCGAGATGCTGACCGACGTGCAACGACACGTGGCATCGTGTCCCACCTGCCAGCTCATGAAGTCGTCACGACAACGACCGGCAGGACAGTTGCAGCCGATACCACCCCCAGAGCGTGCTTGGCAGCAGGTGACGATGGACTTCGTCACGGGGTTACCGGCTGGAGCAAGTGGGAACGACGCGATCTTGGTCGTCGTCGATCGGCTGACGAAAATGGCACACTTCGCAGCATGCAAGAAATCAATCACAGCCGAAGAAACAGCTCACCTCTTCATCGCCACCATCGTTCGATTACACGGGATACCAGCAGCGATCATCAGCGACCGCGACACGAAATTCACCAGCAACTTCTGGCGGAACCTGTGGCAGCAGTTCGGCATGCGACTGCAGTTCAGCTCATCATATCACCCCGAAACCGACGGACAGACAGAACGGACAAATCAGACCATGGAACAACTCATCCGGGCCACGTGCGACGACCCGACCACGTGGGAACAGCAACTGCCACTCATCGAATTCGCATACAACAACTCGCCATCCGCCACGACCCAATAGTCACCGTTTTACCTGAACTACGGACAAGACCCCACAGTACCCATGACCCCGAATCCCGACAACCCAGTCCCACGCGCGCAACAGTTCGCATAAATACTGCAAGCAGCACGGACCCGAGCAGCCGAAGCAATAAAAAAATCAAACATCATCGCTAAACGCAACGCTGACCGCCACCGCCGACCTGTCACTTACCAGCCAGACGACCTAGTTCTACTCGACACTCAAAACCTCCGCCTGCTCATCACCCCAAAACTCCGCCCCCGATATTGCGGGCCATTTCGCATCAGCCACATGATCACACCCGTCACCGCCCATCTCCTCCTCCCTGCTGACTGGTACGTCAGCCCGTCATTCCACGTCAGCCTGCTTCGCCCATACGTGCCATCCACCAGCCAACTGCCTCGCAACCGCCCCGCCAGCATGACACGACCGCCGACTGAGCCAATCATCACGCCTGAGAAAATACTGAGTCATCGAGTACGTGACCCACGGGGAGCCCGCAGAATCGAATTCCTGATCCGCTGGAAAGACCGCACGCCCACCGAAGACAACTGGGTCCCCTTGGATAGAATTGAGAATCACCCTGTCCTCACTGAGTATCTGCGCAGCCGAAACTTCCGAGATATACACGCGCTCTCGTAAGAGGGGCCTCCTTGGGGAGGGGGGTAGTGTAAGGAAAATCCCTTTTCCTTACTTCGCGTCCCTGCTTACCGCGTACATGCCCGTTCCCGCCATCGGCACCCATCCGTGAACGTTACCCGCTCGCGACATTCGCCTCGACCACGACTGCCGCCACTGTTCACGATGCGACCCAACCTCACGGTTCGGTTGGTAACCCGCGCTCCGGACCTCCGCCTCGACAATTCCCAACCTCGGCGCTAGGCCCGTAGCGCACCCCAATTTCCCGCATTACCGTTACCACGCTAGCTTCGCTATATAACTTCGCTCATGCTTTTCGCTCAACTGTATTGATTGCTTCGATAGTTCAATTCTCACTCGCTCATTCAATTGCACTCGTAACAGTTATTCTAAAGTGAGATTTGGATATTCCTAAGCTTCATACTAGAAATATAAATTGCACAAAGCAATGCCAACTGCCCACTAGTTGCATCCTATGAGTAGTCACTCCTGCAGTGTTCCATGATAGGGATTTTTATAATTGAGCAAATTCATCTAATGCTCATCCTCAACGCGCCAGGGATAACCACCTGGCTGTATTGATATATTCCGTATGCCACCACCATCAGCAGCATCTATCACCCTCAGTAACCTCCCGGAGAAATCGGAATATTTCCCACACTCCTTGGAGCCCCAAGCGCTCGCATCCCCAACCTGTTAACAGCAGCAACACCACCACCACCACCACCACCACCACCACCACCACCACCACCACCATGAACCAATTCACTCCCATCCACACCGCGTGCCCCAACTCCACCCCCTATCCCTCCACCCAACACTCTCCTCTCCACGTGATTAGGCAGCAACATAGTGTCCACCGATGAAGTCCTTGCAAGGGGGCTTCGACCAGCCAGGGGCGAGGCCGAGACAGGTGTGTTCCCTCCTGAAGGGCTAGGAGATGCAGAGAACGGCCCAGCAGCAGAAGCACCCTCGCGGTGCCTGCTCACGCGCATCTGCTCTGGTGACTGCACCCCTCCTCTCCGCGCTCCCAACCCACCACCGCTCAACAACGGACTGCGACGCACCCCCCCTCCTCCTCCTCCTCCTCCCACGCCCATCCCCACTCCGTCGCCTCCTCCCATCCCTCCTCCTCCCCCTCCACCTGCTCCTCCTCCATACGCATCATAATCATCACCAGCAAAGAACCCGGAACCCACCGCTGCGCCTCCTCCTCCCAGCAAAAACTCCTCGGTAAGTGTGTGGTGACGCCGCCGCACCGGCTGCTGCCCCTGCTGCTGCCCCTGTTGCCCCTGGTGGCCCTGATGGCCGTGATGCCGTGCCGCAGGGAGAGGAGGGAGCAGGTTGGAGGAGGCAGCAACGTCGGTGTAGCTGTCTGTGAAAACCGACGGTACTCCACCTCCTGACACCCACACCCCCGTGCCTGATGATGCAAACCCCCCACTGCTCTGAGTCTGACCCTCATCACTGCCGCTTCGACTGGCTGCTAGGTGCCCACTGCTGCCACCGCCCGCCGCAAACCCACCTCCTCCTCCTGCTCCTCCTGCTCCTCCTTCCCAAGCAGCAGACCCATGCGTAGCAGCTGTCCTGTCCACATACCCCCCTTCTCCATCCACATCATAAAGCGCCACACCCTCCCCTCGCCCCCTCTCGCCCCTCTCCCCGAATCCCAGGCCCTGCTGAAAATCAGACGAAGTGCGGAACAACGGCTGTTGCCCTCCCCTGGGGAGATCCTCAGGTGAATCCAACAGAGCACCTGGCCTGAGCCTGCCTTGAAACACACCGCCACCACCGGCCGCACTCGGCATTCCCACACCGCTGCCCAAAGCAGACGAGGAGTTGAAAGCCGCGCGCTGCCTTGCAGCACTGGAACTAGCAGAGCCACCAGGACCTAAATCCGCAGACATAGTGCGAGTTAAAGACATCCCGGCTCCAGATCGGGCCACTAAAGTCGCCTCTGCTGATAACATTCTCGGCACAGGTGCACGGCCCATACCTGCTGCAGTACCACCCATAGCACCCATAGCCCTGAGCCCACCGTCCGCACTATCCTCCTGCCTCCACCCTGCCACGTCAGCACCTCGGGCAGAAAACGAACCTGTAGAGGAGGATGGTGGGTAGAAGTCAGTGGGAGGGGAGTAGGGCCGATAGGGCTGCCCGGAGTGAGTGTGGCTTGGGGAGTCAGAGAGTAGCCTCCTGAGGGGAGGCATGGCTGCTGTGCCCATGTGACCACCACTCGTGGTTGCACCACCGCCAGCAGCACCAGCAGCACCAGCACTGCTACTACCGCCATTACCACCGCCAACACTGAGGCTGACAGGAAAGCGCGGGCCGTTACCAGAGGGGTAAACCGCATACGAGTCGCTGTTGCTGTTGCTGCTGCTGCTGGCGCTGTTGCTGCTGCCAAACGAGTTGCTGTGGCTGTGTGCAGCACTGGCAGAAGCAGAGGACAAGCTTGAAGCACTGAAGCCCGCACCAGCAGCAGCAGCAGATGATAAAGTGTTGTTTCCAACAGACAGCCTGGATGCGGGGAAGGAGAGCGGTGGGTCAAAATCACGGGAGCGCACGCGTGAGAGCGACGCGCTGTCCAGTGTGACGGTGCGAACGAATTGCGGCAGGGACTCAGCCACTGACCGGGCTGCAGCACCCCCTGCTCCCATCACCTTGCCTTGCACCCCACCGGCCTCCCCCCCTCCTCCTCCTCCTCCACCTCCTATGAACCCTGCTCTTGTGCCAGCAGCAGCACCACCACCGCCACCACCAGCAGCAGCAGCAGTTAAAGACGACTGTCTGGGGGGCCTTGTGCCTCGATCCAAAGTCGCAACCCGCATGTACATATCTGAAGCAGTTGCAGCAGCAGATGCAGCAGCAGCAGCAGCACCAGCAGCAGAATCATAAGGCGCGGGATCAAACGACCTAGATCGCTCAACATATGACCCGAGATTCATCCCGCTGCCTCCACCTCCCAAACCTGGTCTGGAGGTTCGGCGGAAACTGTTCAGGTCCGGATCTAGGGGACCCATGCTTCGCATCTTATGCAGATTGCGGGATGGCAGGCTGTGGGGGGGTAGGCTGTTAGACGGCAGGCTGTGGGTGGGCAGGAAATGGGACAAGGCTTCCTGGCACGCACGTTCCTCCTCCTCCTCCTCCTGCTCCTGCTGCCGCTGCTGCTGCTGCTGCTGCTTCTGCTGCTCATGGCGATAACGGTCTTGGTGTGCTTGCTGGGGTGCTTGGGGCTGGGACTGGTGGCGATGGTGGTGGGGGTGGTGGGGTTGCAGTGAGTTCTGGGAGGCGAGGCGAGAGGAGTGGTCTCCTCGAAGGACCTTCCACGGATCAAACTGCATCACAGTGAGGGGAACGCAGGGAAATGGGTGAGCTGAATTGCTACACGTGCAGCTTTTGACTTTCGAGCCGACTCAGTGGTCGCCTCGAAGAACCTTCCACGGATCAAACCGCATCACAGTGAGGGGAACACAGGGAAATGGGTGCCCTGAATTGCTACACGTGCAGCATCTGAGGCAACAATGATGGAGAGGGATGCGGTGGGGTTAGGTGGGATGGGGCGGGGTGGGGTGGGGTAGGGTGTGGTGGAGTGCGGTGGGGTGGGGTGGTGGTACCTGGCAGTTGGGGCAGCAGAAGCTGCGAGTGAGTGGGTCCTCTTGAAGGCTATCCAGAGCGCACGTTTGGCCGCACACACACCCAAACCACACCTCCTCCTCCGCCTCCTCCCCATACTGCTTCAGCCCGCTCTGCTCTCGGTGCACGCAATACAAGTGTGTGTATGGGCGGGGGAAAGGAGAGCACAAGGGGGGGAGGAAGGGGGGGAGGAAGGAGGGGCGGTAAGAGAAGGGGGGAAAGGGGGAGATGGATGGGAGGAGGGTAAGGGTGAGTGAGGGGGGTTGGAGGAGGAGAGGTGCAGGTCTTGGTGGCAACAAGTATGATGGCAATGGTGAGAATGGACTGGTATCAATCCAGGCGAAAGAATAGTGGAACTGGGAATGATGGGAGGGGGAGCAGGGAATGGTGGGAGGGGGAGCAGGGAATGGTGGGAGGGGGAGCAGGGAATGGTGGGAGGGGGAGCAGGGAATGGTGGGAGGGGGAGCAGGGAATGGTGGGAGGGGGAGCAGGGAATGGTGGGAGGGGGAGCAGGGAATGGTGGGAGGAAGAGCAGGGAATGGTGGGAGGGGGAGCAGCGGGCAGGAACAGCGGGAGCAGCGGGGAGGAAAACTGGCAGTGGTGGTGCAGTGAGTGCAGTGCGGAGGGAAGGCGTGACTGACTGACCTTGGCACTGAGGCAGGAGGCGCAGTCCAGCAACCCCTTGCTGAGGCGCATGGAAATCACTTTTGAGAATTCCCAAACGTGACTGACCTTGGCGGAGAGGCACGAGGCGCAGTCCAGAAGCCCTTTGCTCAGTCGCATACCCACACAGGCGAAGTGCGAGCGGTGCCCGCACTCCCACGCGATAACCGGCGCCTCTCTGATCGCCAGCTCGCACGTGCTGCACCCCTCCCTGCCCGCCCCCTCCCCTTCCCGCTCCCCCTCCCCCTCCCCCTCCCCCTCCTCGTTTCCGCTCACGCCCCTGGAGGGACTAGTGTTGGCAATTACAGAGCCCCCGAGCGCACTGGTTCTGGCGGGAGTATGGGAGATGCGGAGGGAGGGAAGGCGGGGTTGGTGCCGGTGCAGGAGGGGGAATGAGTGAGGGTGGCTGGGGTGGTGGAGGTGCGAAGGTGGAGTGAGCGGCGGTGCGCACGGAGGGAGGGGAAGGGGGGTGGGTGGTGGGGTTGGGTCTACTAAAAGCGTGTTATAAAGCGTGCATGGCAGGCATGGGGAGTGGGAAGGAGTGTGGGAGGGAGACAAAATTTGCCTCACAGCCAATATCATGCACCGCACGGCTGGCTGCTCTTTACTCGATTGTTCTTCTTCTTTTCTTCTTACTTTCACGTTCTCGGTTGTAACAAACTCCCGTTCATCACACGTCAGGGATTAGCTTAGTTCAAAAGACAAATCTTTTGCATCCCTCTTACCTCAACCAACCAACCCCCCCAACTCATGTCTAAGATCCATCCTCATCCCGTTACCCCCACCATCTCCCGCCCCGGTTCCCCCTCACCCCGTTATCTCGTTCCGGCCCCCTACTCTTTTTCCCCCTCGTTCAAATCAAACTCACCGCCGCCCTGCCGCTGAATCCCCGCGGCTCGAACCACAAGACGCGGACCCGAGCGGAGACGCCCTTCCCCCGCACACGCTCCCCGCGCCTCCGCTTCCCCCCGCGCTCCCGCTCCCCCTTCCGGAACCCCGTGATTCCGGCGACGACCCTCTGCTGTCCGCGCGCGCGTGCGACACGGCGCTACGGGCGGGCGACGACCTGGCGGAGGAGGGCTTCAAACGACTCGACCCGGGCGCAACTGGCGCGGCGCTGCTGCCGCCGCCCGCGCCGGGATACCCTCCCCCGGACGCAAAATCCGCGGCGCCACCACCAGCAGGCGCAGAGCCGACAGGAGGAGGCGCAGCAGCAGCAGCAGCAGCAGAAGAAGTAGCAGCAAGGGGGTCATCGGGAGGGATAGAGGCGAGGTCCGGGGCGATATGGGAGGCGACAAGCGCAAGAGGCACGTCGACTCGGCTACGCACGGCGTCTACCCACAACCGCACGCTCTCGTCCGACACGCGCAGCACCTCGCCGAAGCACCACCGCGCTTTCATGCACCGCACCACCACCAAGTCCCCCGCCTCGTACGGACAGCTCCACGCCTCTCCCCCGCGTTTCCCGCCGTTTGATCCCGCACCTCCGCGCCGGCGGCGCCCGCCGCCGCCGCTGCTGCTGCTGCTGTAATCAGTCGGGTAATCCGTGCCGCTGACCCCGCCGTAGTCGGCGTCGTAATCCGAGCCGGGATCTGCTCCGTAATCTGCGGCGGATTGAGCTGGCCAATCATCGAGCGCGGTAGCAACGGTCGGATCTAGCGAGTTGTAACGAGCCGGTCCGCGTATGCTATCTCCATGGCTCCCCCCACCGCCAGCCCCGCGGCTGAGCCCCGCTTTCCCCGCCCCTCCCCCCCGCAGTCTTCCGCCCGCGCCGTCGCGGAAAGGAAGTTCCGCCACCAGCTGAACGGGCCCGGATCTTGCCCCTTCGTCTGCGCCAGGGGTTGCGCGGAGCGAGCGGGAGTAGGCGGAGCGGTCGATGAGGGGAGGGGGGGCGTGGCGCAGGGTTCCGCCGGAGGGGAGAGAGGAGGCGGGGATGGTGGGGGAGGAGGAGCTGTAGCCTTCGTCGCTGTCCTCTGATTGGTCGATGAGGTCCATCATCAGTGGGTTGCGGCCACGTGTCCGAAACCCCATACGCTCGAGCACGGGGGATAGCGTGCGTAACGGTGAGAGGTAGCGACGTCAGGACGACGGGGGTAGACTTGATTAAACAGATGGGTGGGGACGGGGGACGGGTGGGTTGCCTCAAGCGCGAGAAAAAAATAGCGTTGCGGTTTCAAGGAACGGGGTCAACGCGGTGCTCGCAGGAGGGGAATGCGTATTAGCAGGCTGACGACAGTTAAGTCTACATACGTAGAACAGTAGCTGTGGCGTTGCTGCAGAATAAAATACAGATATCGAAAATCCCGCTAGCAATGGCGACCGGTACACACACGTGTCAATTCACCGTGACCTGCATGAGGAGGAAGCGTGAGCGGTATTTGGAAGTAACGGGACTCGAGCCGCTTCAACGTGCATAGCAAGAGACCGACTGCACTACGCAGAGAAGCTCACGAGCTGTAGTTGAATCCAAGCTCGCGGCACCGAATCAGCTGCTAGTGCTGCTCTCATCAGACAACAGCTGCACCTGTCTGGACTCGCCTATACTTTCCATTACCTAATATTCAAACCAGTCTAGACATAACCAGTCTGTGCATCATCAGCCAGCCATACATCATCAGCCACACCCTCCTCCAGAAACCAGTTTCAGGAAAAAGAGAGTTCCTGAGTCCGACTGTACCCGTCCACCCAACACCTAACCAAACATACGAGCGAATCGAGTGAAGCAAGCGGCCACTGGTGACAGCCTGACGCACCGAGCAATGGGATTTATATTCCACAACTGTGGCGGGACAAGACACGATGACTGACTCGGTTGAACAATCGGGCAGAAGCGAAACCTGCCCGCCTGACACTCGCAAGCAACAGGTTCGGCAGGATTTACTGTACAATGAAGCGCGCCAAACCGTTGGAACTCTCATCTGCGATAAGTACAGTACAGTTTCACCGATGTGGTTTTCACCAATTTCCAGGCTTGAAGTTGGTTCCGGGCGTGATGGCGAGAGCGACCACTCTTGCCTTCGGATTCCCAAGATTTGGGGGCTAGCTAGGCGAAGTGAACAAAATGTGATGTGAATATTGCCAGCTTTGTGGGTGTCGTCTTCTGCCCACACCCGCTTCGTGCGACATTCTATCAGAAGCCACACCAATCAGCATCATGCTGCCCAGCCGAAAGTTGTGGCTGAAACAAATGCCGAACAAGCCCTGCACTGTACGAAGCTGCCGCCACGGTGGCTTCTTGTGCCCTCCTTGCCGCAGTGCAATAGCGAACGGATCATGCCACCCACTCGACGTGAGTCAACAGATGGAGGTTATCGTGGTTCGCTAAGAGCAGTACTCAAAGGTTGTCATACTAATCTTAGGGCTTGTTGGACCACTGGTTATCTCAATGCCTAGTATTTGTTCGTTAAACACTCACCTGGGATTTGCTTACTCAAAATGACATTTTTGTATTGACCATGCATCATTTGAACAAAAGACACATTTCTATATTCGTTGCATACTATTTTGAGTAAGCGAGACCTGAAATGATTCGGAATTTTCTTGTGATCTCACTTAAAAAAACGAAATTGTTTTTCATTGACAAGGCCTTTGTTTGTAGGAAACTTATATCTATCTGTTACAATCCCAAGTGGGACTTAGCGAAGGATCGCTCAGGGTTGATCGCAGGGTAGTGTTGCAGCGGAAGTAGTAAACTCAGGTCAGAGTGAATGTAAATGACTGAGATTGATAATAGCATGCATACATTGAGTTTATATAGGAAATACAAAGGAATACGAAACGACCTAGACTAGCCATGTACTCTAAGGGGTACATTCCCTTATTACAGTGAAGTTCAAACCGTGCGGCGCGGGAACCCGTTTCAAACTTGTTCCCACTCTTTTCACTTCGAATGTTTATGCCTGCATCGGTCTTGATCAGACGGTTACCAGTGTCGCTTCGACTCTTCTGACTCCTCGGCTTCATACACTTTAGAGTCGGCCCCTGTAGCATACAGGAATGCCTTCTCGTAAAGTTTCATATCGCAACACTCCCCTTCATTCCTGGGCGCGCAGGGGGCTGACTCGTTTGACCACTCCGGTGAGGTCGGAACAGTGCTTGTACTGCTGACGTGGCAGTCGCTTGGTGAGAAAGTCGGCTGCCATCTCGGTGGTAGGGCAGTACGTGAGATCAACATTGCCCTGGTCAATTTCGTCCTTGACGAAAAAGTACCGAAGCGCGATGTGCTTCGTGCGGTTCACAAACCCTGGCTTGTTCGCAATCTTGATGGCACTCTGGTTGTCGCAGTGAAGGCGAAAGGTGGGCGAAGTTGGAATTTTTGCCTCCTGTAGTAACTCCTGGAGGTACAGACATTCGCGAACTGCTGCTGTCGCGGCGATGTATTCTGCTTCGGCTGATGACAGGGCAACCAGCTCCTGCTTCTGTGAGTTCCAGGAGATTGGTCCTGTTGGTTCCAGGCGGAAAACAAAGCCAATTCGGGACCGTCGATTTGTAGGATCAGCGGCATGATCTGCATCCACGTAGCCGTTGAGGTTGAAGGAGGTCGTCGTCAGCGTGGAGTAGGAGAGCCCGATGTCAGGTGTGGAAATGAAGTACTGCAGGGCGCGCTCCAGATCCAGCTGGTTCTCTGCTACTGGCTTGCGAGAGTACTGTGCCAATTGGTTGGCGATGTACGAAAGGTCGGGTCGGCAGGTGACAGAGGCGAACAGCAGGCACCCCAATTTCTGCTGGTACATTTGGAGTCCTGCGGGTGACAGAGGTTTGTTGTCCGGTTTGTAGTTGGCGCTGGGGTTGCGGTAAGGGGTTGAGAGTGGTGCGGGTGAAATGTTGAAGCGTTCCCCCAGCTGCTCTGCGTACTTGGAGGCTGACAGGTGAATTGCTTCTGGCGCGAAGGTGATGTTTAACCCCAAGAACTGTGTGACGTTGTGGTTGATGGTGATGTCAACGCGCTGCGCCAGGTTCTTTTCGAACTGATGAAGGAGCTTGTTGCAGGTGCCGGTGTACAGCAGGTCGTCGACGTAGACTGTCAAAAGGATGTAGTCGCCGTTAAAGTGAAGGCGGTACATTCCCGGGTCGTGCGGCAGCTGCCTGAAGCCGATCTCCAGGAGGATTTTGTGCAAATGCTGCAGCCAGAGACGCGGCGCTTGGTTTATCCCGTAGAGGGATTTCTTCAGCTGGCAGACCCTGGGGTCTCCTTCCCCGTAGGTGTGTGGCTATTCCACGAAGATGGTTGCATCCACCAACGCGTATAAGAACGCATTCTTCACGTCGATCTGCCGCAGTGGTAGGTGCTTAGCAGCGGCAATGGCGAGTAGAATTCTGACGGAGGTGTGACGACTGACGGGAGCAAAGGTTTGATCAAAGTCGATGCCGTGGCGCTGGTCGTACCCGCGTACGACCCAGCGTGCCTTGAAGCGCTCGATAGTGCCGTCAGCGTTGGTTTTGAGACGGAATACCCATTTTCCGCTTAGCACCCTCCTCCCTGTCAGAATGTTATCTTATGCTCTAGCCTGTAGTGGGGTGCTCTATAGCGAGTACAACCCTTCTAGGGTTTCCTATTTGTATCCCCATTCTTGCTAGTGCATCTCTCTTCTTTCTTCTAAACTTTCAACATGGTATCAGAGCAGGTCGATCCCCTTGGATCGATCCTGTGGGTGGGCTTACCACCTCCTAGCTTCCGCTGCAACTCCTACCACTACACTCGGTGCCGCACGCCCCGTGGCGTGTGGCAGTTTTCTTCCCGCCGTGCGCCCCGAGGCGCGCGGCGGTTTTCTTCCCGCCGTGCGCCCCGAGGCGCGCGGCGGTTTTCTGCCCGCCGTGCGCCCCGAGGCGCGCGGCGGTTCTCTGCCCGCTGTGCGCCCCGAGGCGCGCGGCGGGCTTCGGCCCCGTCAACCGTCGCGTCGCCCTCGGGAGGCGCCGCGACGGGCGACGGGGACCCGTTCGTCGCCCCCCGTCGCCCGTCGTGGCCTGCGCGCGGCCCGTACAGGCAGCGCGCGACCCGTACGGGCTGCGCCAGGCCAGCGCGCGACCCGTACGGGCTGCGCCAGGCCCGCGCGCGACCCGTACGGGCTGCGCCAGGCCCGCGCGCCACCCGTACGGGCTGCGCCAGGCCCGCGCGCGGCCCGTACGGGCGGCGCCAGGCCCGCGCGCGGCTCAGGCCGCCTACGCGCGGTTCGGGCGACCCTACCAGGCCCGTGGTGGGCCCGCTCCTTGCTGCCCCTGCCCTCCCTAATGTCCCCCAGCGCTTCTACTCGTGCCCCACCCCTCCTACTCCCCATTCTCCTGTATTAGGGTTTGGGGGTGCGGGGTATGGGGGTGCACCCACTGTGTACTGTTCCCTGCTCCTCCTCCTCCTCCGTCTCCCTGTGCTGCAGCTGCCGCTGAGGGGGGGTGGACGTGTTGGAGCCGGTGGAGTGGTACTAAGGGGGGGTGAAGGGGGAGTGGAGCTAGCGGTGTAGCAGCGGGTATGTGCCAGGGGGGAGTGGGATAGTTTGGGGAAGCTGAATGGAGGTTGCCGTCGTGTCGCCAGCAGCACCTGTATTCCGGGGACTTCGTCCGGTAGCCCAGTCGTAGCCAGCTGTGCCAGCCGCCCGTGGGTCCGTTGCTCGTCTGCCGCTACTTTAGCCGCGGGGCCTGTTACTCCTGTATTCCGGGGACTTCGTCCGGTAGCCGCTGTGCCAGTCTGCCTCCTGTTGCCTGTGTGTCTGCAGCTTCAGCCGTCGCCTCCTATCTCCTCTCCTCTCACTCTCTCTCCTCCTCCTCACTTGCCCGTTGTGACTACCACTAGCTTTGCTCATAATTGTGAACTTAAACTATTGCTTCTTGAACTTGTGCTCAGAATGTGTGGTGACATTGTGATCCACCCTGAGCTTGTACTCCTTTGCTTACTCTGCTGATTACACCCCACTTTGGCTATGGGAGTGTGTCAGAATGTTATCTTATGCTCTAGCCTGTAGTGGGGTGCTCTATAGCGAGTACAACCCTTCTAGGGTTTCCTATTTGTATCCCCATTCTTGCTAGTGCATCCCTCTTCT